AGATCGGACAAGCTGCATGGCTTCTAGCTGTTGGCACAGGGCTGACGCCAAGCTAGCGTCAGAGCATGTCTGGTTCAAATTTTTTTTACTGTTGGCACGTGCATTGCACGCACCAACGGTAAAAAAAATTTGAATTGTGCGTGACGACGTCAGCCTGACGTCACCCCCCCGCGTTTTGGACCTGGGGCGGAACTTGCCTTCTGGCCAGCTCGGGTTGGTGGGTCCCACACCCCCCCGGGCCTGGGCTGCTCCGCTGGAACGAAATTTTTTTTCCCCCCCTCGGGCTGGGCTGCACCGGTGGAATGGCTCTAAGGGCTAAGGCTAAGGCTAAGGCAAGACAATGGCTGCTACTATTCACGTTAATAGTAGCAGCCTTGCCATTTGTGGTTCCACCCTAGAAGGCTAAGGCTAAGGCAAATACTATTTATTGTACTTTATTTCCTTTTTTTATTTTTTATTTATTTATACTTTAAACCATTAATTTTGATAATATTTTGTAATTAAATTTTCGGATAAGATTTTTGGTTGCCACGTGTCCATTATTTTTCAGAAAAGATTTTTGGATGAGAATCTCGGTTGCCACGTGTCTTATTCCAGATAAAATTTTCGGATATTCATTAAAAAAAATTATAATCTCATATTTCAGATAAGATTTTCACCCTCTAAAATTGTGCCATGTGTCCCATGTCAGATAAAATTTTCATATATTAAAAAAAAAAAATTATAATATCAGATTTCAGATAAGATTTTCACCCTCTAAAATTGTGCCACGTGTCCCATGTCAGATAAGATTTTCAGATATTTAAAAAAAAAATTATAATCTCATATTTCAGATAAGATTTTCACCATCTAAAAATGTGCTACGTGTCCCATGTCAGATAAGATTTTTAGATATTTAAAAAAAAAATTATAATCTTAGATATCAAATAAGATTTTCACTCTCTAAAATTGTGCCACGTGTCATCTCTATCTTCTGAATCCTTCTATAAAACTACACCATCAACTCATACCTCTCACACCATCTCTTATCTATTCCTTCATTTATCATATTTTACAAAACACATTCTACTCTCAATGTCAAACTTGAGGAGGGTGTTGGAAAGGCAACAGAAAGAAGAGGAAGAAATCCGGCGCAGACGTGCTATTGAAGATCAGGAGGCCGATGAAGAAGAGGAAGAAATGCTTGCAACAGCGGTGTGTATGCTTAATCAATCAAGGCAACACCGCCGTCGTTGTACTCCGAATGTGGACAAGCGTATGAAGTCTCGGGGTAAGAATCTCTTGGAAGATTACTTTATCTCAAATTCGTTATATCATGTTTCTAAGTTTCGAGAGAGATATAGAATGCAGCCATATTTGTTCCAAGAAATCATGCATGATATTTGTAATTACGACACATACTTCATTCAGAAGTATGATGTTGTTGGAGTTTTGGGTCTTCTCCCAGAGAAAAAACTTACAGCTGCTTTGCGGATGCTTGCTTATGGGGCATCTGCATAGCAGGTGGATGAGATTGCAAGGATGGGAAAATCAACTGTCCTAGAGTGCTTGGTGAGATTCTGTGATGCAGTGGAAAATTTGTACACGAGGGAATATCTTTGCAAACCTACGCTGAGGGACCTGCAACGGCTTCTCCAAAAAGCTGAGGCTCGAGGTTTCCTAAGAATGATTGGAAGCATCGATTACATGCATTTGCAGTGGAAGAATTGTCCTACTGCTTGGCAAGGAGAGTACGGGTATCGGAAGGGCAAAAAAAGGATAATTTTGGAGGTCGTAGCTTCATTCGATTGTTGGGTTTGGCATGCCTTCTTCGGGGTTGCCGAATCTCAGAATGACCTTAATGTCCTTGGTCAATAGCCAGTGTTCGACGAGGTATTGCGAGGTCATTTCCCCCAGATCACGTACCAAGTCAACAATACCGTATACTTGGTGCGTACTACCTTGCCGATAGAATTTATCCTAGGTGGAGCACATTCGTGAAAACAATTCCGAATCTCCAATTCGATATGGAAAAAAGCTTTGCTGCCTTTCAAGAAGGTTACAGAAAAAATGTGGAAAGGTGTTTCGGTATCTTGCAAGCTCATTGGGCAATTATTAGAGGTGCTGCTCGGATGCTAGATGATGAGGTGTTGCGGAGTATTATGATGACTTGCATCATCCTCCATAACATGATTGTGGAGGATGAGTATGACTACGATGCTCCAGAGGTGTTTGAACCCGATCCCATGAACACGGCGTTGACAAGAATATATGAAAGGAAGATGGGACCAAATGGACAACCAATGGAGCCCGAACCGTTACTTTGGGATGGTCAATACAACAACCCCATGATTGATCGTTATCAAGAAATGCAATCTTCATATGTTCACGAGAGACGTCAACTTGACTTGATTGAGCGCTTGTAGGAGATGAAAGGTAATCACAGTGGATGAAGTCAAGATTAGTGCTTTGTTTGGAATTGTGCTTTGTTTTTAATTATGCTTTATTTTGTGTGTGGTGTTTTTTGGAATTATGTTTTTAAGTATGGTTTGTTTTGTGTGTTGTTTGCAATAAATTAAGGTTTGTTTTTAATTAATCTTTGTTTTGATGCGCAAATGTTTTTAATAAATAGTCATATTATTTAATGCTTTCTTTATTGAATAAAAAGGAAACAATACAACAAATTAATACATATGGCAAATCTTTCAATACAACCTAATGGTTTTGATCATTTAACTAATCCATATTGCTAGGTCCATCGTCATGGAAAAGTTTTCTTCTCATCACATCCCTTCGTCTTAGCTTCCAATAGGCCTTTGTTTCAGGAGACATATGGCTCGTATCCATGACCATGATTTTCATCTCTCTATCCTCCATGTTTTTTTCTTGTGCCTGCTGCTGTTGAATTGCAAATACTTCTTGTCGTGCGATGTCCACTTCTTATCTTTTCAAGTCTCTCTCAATTCTTAGTTCGGTGTTTTTAGCTATTTGGTCCATAAATTGTACACATTCATTGTTCGAATTGCTCCCTCTCTTGACCTTTGCCGCTTTTCTCCCAATAGGTCTCGGCGGACGTGGGAGTGGTGACTCCGTTTCCATTGGGGAGTCCAATGACGAATCGGTTGATGGCGAATCGAAGAGTGGCGTCTCATTCAACACAACCGCTGGACCTGTGGGAATAATTTTGAATCTCAAACAATCCGTCACAACTTCCCAACATTAGAAATGCAAGAAACTTTTTTTGCCTTGCCTCATGGCACCAAACCAAACTTGTGCTTGTATGATCTATTGAAAAGAAATAATTGGAAGTGCAAGAAAAAAAAAGATTATGCAAGAAAATATAAACAATTTTTAAATGCAAGAAAAAAATTGATTATGCAAGAAAATATGGACAAATTAGAAATGCAAAAAAAAAAAAAAAAAAAAAAACATTATGCAAGAAAAAGAAATAGAATATGCAAAAAAAAAAAGTTACATTAAATTGATTAAAATGGCAATTATAAATATTTTACCTTATCGGATATATTTTAACCGCTTCGAATGTTCTCCCTTGCTTTTGTCAAAGCATTTCTCCATTTCCCTAACTCTTTATTCAGAATTCTCCATCTACTAGACAAGGCCATTTCGGTCCGAATGGAACCCGATCTTTGACAAAATTCTCCATGAATTTTGCTCCACATATGAGAGAATTTCATCTCATTGCCCGTGACAGGGCAATGACTAACGTTCACTCAAGATTGACACAACTCAATATCTTCCTGAATTATCCACGCCCCTCCGGCTTCAACAGAAGATGCCATTTATTTTTTTGATACAAATGGAAAGTAGTAGAAAAATATGAGTGGAGAGTAAAAAATATTGGAAGGAGAAGAGTTTGTATGAAGATTTGGTGTGGAAAGTAAAAAATATTGGAAGGAGAAGAAATTGTATGAAGATTTGGTGTGGAAAGTGAATAAAATTGTTAGGTATTTATAGGGAAAAAATCTCGATTTTTTTGGTTTTTTTTAAAAAAAAATTCAGAAATTTTTCGAATGACTGTCAGATTTCTGGATAAAAACCGATCAGAGCGTCAGAGTTGCGACACGTGGTGAATGCCCGTTGAATTCCGCTTGATGATGTCATTGTGACGTCGGCGCTGACATCACTGCCCTCAGGTTGAAGCCCAGGCGAAACCTGCCCTTGGGCTTGCCCGAGCTAGTGGGACCTAGGGCTTGCTCGAGCCAATTCTCTCGCGCTAGAGCCGCTTTGGGCTTGGTCGAGGGGCCTTCTGCCCGGTTTGCATGCAGCACTGGAGCTGCTCTATGCTCCACAGAATTCTTAAAGACAAAACCTAGAAATATCACGAACTAGACGTTGATTAAGTTTTTTTAAAAAAAAATTGATGTCTTTTTTGAATCTTTAGAAATATCACTTGATATATGTGTATACAAAGCTTCTTCATACTTCGAAAATTCTCATTTTCTATTATTTGACGTTTTCTTTGTAAGACGTTGGATTATTCTAAACTTAAGTGGTCTTCTAATCATCATAGGGTTGTCTTGGGCTCAATATTGAACAAGGACTCAAATACTACTCGGCCCATAGCCTTTGTATAAGTGTTTAAGTTAAATACATGGGCCAAAGGGATTCCTAATTAATATAGACTAGGGTTTTTATTTCCTAATGCAATAAGGGCTGCTTGAGAGTTTTTCTTGATGGGAGAGACTCCTAGGCAGATGCATATAAAACACAAGTGCTCCTCCTCAACCGATCAAGCCAACCCACACAAAAGAATTCACCCAATCTAGAATGAGTGTATGAAGGGATCGGATTGAGGAGATGTGCTCTTGTATATTCTTGATGTGTGTTCTATCATGTGTAGTCATTATAGTTTACATTTTTTCCCCCCAATCCTCTTCTCAAACCTCTCATCTCTCTTAGCTGAACCCAAAATGAGTTTTCTCTCTCATTTTGATTTGAAATGACTAAATGGCTTTCTGACAAAGTGTTTCTTGATCTTAAAAACACCAACTTGAATTTCTCATTTTACCCCTTCATAGGAAAAAGGGAAAGGGTACTTCTATTTGAACACAATAAATTTCTCTTCCCCCGGAAATTTTTTGATTTCTCATGTTACCCCTTAAAAGAAAAGAAGCTCTATCTATCTCTCTCAATCTCCCCATCCTTACAGTTACAACGAAGGTTGGTGAGGTTGCCATCGTGATGGGTCCCCATTCTCACTTTCATTTTTCTCAATAGTTCCTTTTTTGTAACAAGAGTTGTATTTCCTGTTTTGGATGATATAAGAATCCAAGTAGGTTAATCAAAGAAGTCATGAGGAAACACAAAGAAAAAGCAAAGAATAAGCTTATGTTATTCTTCCAAAGAGAAGAAAGGGAAAAAAAAAAGTAGCATTAGCAACCAATACTAGACAATGATACACATAACAGAACTCTTTCCTCCTAAATCCCTACTATGGCATCTTTGCCTTTAATTTTGCAGAGAAAGTGTTGGAACGGCTTGCTTGCCATGTTTACCAACAAATTTACTTGGCATTGGATGTCAAAGATAAGCTTCAGGAAACCTTATCAACAATCGCAAAAGTGCTCATGGACTATGTTGTACGGACACGAGTACGGGGACACGGGAACGCAACACGGGGACATGAAAAATCTCAAAAAATTAGGACACGGGTACGGCTAGGACACGACAATTAAAATAATAATTTATTCTCAATACTTCAATGTCACATAATTCCATAAAACAAAACAAATAACTCATGGTCATTATCTATACATAATAATTAATAGACCACAAAATAAAACATAAATGATCTAACTTTCAATCTTCTTTAAGCATCTATGTCTTCATTGTTGTTGTTATTATTTGTTGTGTTTCTCTTAAAAAAAACAGAAGAAAGAATTGTCACCTCACCACCAAGTCCAACTCTCTTCTAGTTTCAAAAATCACGTTTAGACCCCAGATTTTATTTTGAAAATTTCAAACTGGTCCCTGTCGTGTCTTGACCATGTCGGAGTTGTGTCTTGATCGTGTCGGAGCCGTGTCTTGACTGTGTCCTAACCGTTGACCTTGTCCAATGCGTGTCGGGGGCATGTCGGAGCCGTGTCGGCGTGTCTGACACTCCGACACTCCAGCAGTTTGGAGTGTCCGTGCAACATAGCTCCTGGATGTAGAGGAAAATAAAGGGAGGATCTCCTGTTCGCTGACTAGTTGGGAAAGCTCAAAGATCTTTGCTATGACATGGATGATGTTATCGACGAATTCGAATTCTGAAATATACAACTACAAGTGCTCAACCCTAGGGGTATCATCAAATGAAAGGTATGCAATTCACTTCAAAATTCAGTCATGGAAAGCAACAAAATAGGTAAGAGAATCAAAGATAATAGAGAAAGGTTGGGTGAGTTGCAGTTGCAAAAGCTTAGTTCAATATGTCTAAACAAGCTGTAGATTGGCATGACATTGCCATGGAGAGGGAGACCCACTCTTTTGTGCACACCCTAGATGTGATTGGGAGAGAT